ACTCCTAGTCCAGTCTAACTTGCTGTCTCATTGGCCAAACAGTATTTTATTTAACAATCAATAAGATAAATATACACAGTACATTCCCCATCAGAGACTGACTACTTTCCTCAGAATACCCCAATCACCTGTCTGGTGCATGCCACATGGGCTAAGATGTTTACTCAATAGGCAATAGTGATTGCTGCTAACACCCCACTATCTGTCATGTCTGCCCTAAACATCATGAGCATAGGTTTTCTCCTCACTGTTGACATTAGTTCTCACAGACCTCTGCTTTCACAACTCAGTTCTTAGATTTTCTACTCCTATTTTCCTCCTGGACTAATTCCCATTTTCAAGCAGTTTCCTAATCTTGTCATGTGGCTATTTACTGGCAAATTAATGATTTCCAAGCTCTCCCTTTATAGTATTTTGGCTATCTCAAAGTGCTTTTGTGGACTGAAAATCCAATATGCCAACTGAGGGGTCAGCCTTATAAATGACACCCCTCAACGGTGAATAAGAAAAATCTGAGAATAATAATGCTTATAGTGGTAGAAAACAGTAGCAAGAGTGGGATGAGGAACTAAAGAAAAATGCCTGTGAGCACTTTGTCTTAAAACTCAGATGTGAAACTCTGCCATGGCCACTGGTAACATAAAGGTGAAAAGGAAACAGGGTAGCTGCTTTCAAAGAACACAGTTTGGAGAACATAGAAAAGCAAAAAAATAAAAGTTACAACACTTGAGAAAATGTGCTGCAAATGAAGATTTTACTATAGATTAGTGGTTGACTTTCAGCAACAGTGAGTAGCTGGTAAAAATCAGATGACTGCAAGGAGTTACTTGTGATTTGTGGATGTCAGAGTAAAGCAAAGGAGAAGACGCTGTGTGTACCAGGCTGTGTCTCAAGACCAACACAGGAAAGGGGAAAATTGGATCTTGGATATATGATCATCTTTTCCTTTAAAAAATACAGAAGAGGCCAGTAGGATGGCTTAATAGGTAGAGGCACTTGCTACCAAGCCTTCCAGAGACCCATGAAGTAGAAGGAGAGAACTGACTCTGACAAGTTGTCCTCTGACTCCCACCACCACCCTCTCCTCAAAAACTGGCTTTTTAAAAAAGTGAATGTCTTGACTCATACAAGTCAAAACTTCAAGAATATGTTCACTTTCAAATACTATCTGAAGAACAGGGTTAAATGATATTGGCCAACACTGGTTTATCTCACTGTCTTTGACTCCTTTCTCTGAGTTCCTGTACTGTATATCTAGATCTATCCATGTCTTTATGTCTTCACAAGTGTGCCCAATACTAGGAAAAGATGATAACCTCTCCACTGAGATCTTGGAGAATCACTCGAATCTGTCAGGTTCACCTGATCCAGAATCAAACTTGACTTGTGCCATCATGTCAGTGCTGTGAGAGCTTTGTAACAACAGGTGAGGCTTTCTTTTTATCTAGATAACAGTGGTGCCCCTGGATGTGGTTTGAATTTTAAATACCTCCCATGGTTTTATGTGTTTGAGCACTTGGTTCCAAGCTAGTAAATGTGTTAGAAAGGTGTGAAGCCTTAGGAGATGGAGCATCACTGAAGGAAGTAGGTCCTGGAGCCTTGAAATTGTACAGCCTGGTTCACACCTTGCTCACTCTCAGCATCCTGACTGTGGATGAGCTGTTTCACTCTTGCCTCCATGCCTCTCCCACCAAGATGGACTCTGTCCCATAAACTGTAAGTCAAAGCAAACCTCCCTTAGACTGCTTCATACCCCATTTCCCCAATGACAAAAGCAGCCACTTCACTTCATAACTGAAGTCTGCTGATCTTTACTGTGTTTTCTCCTCCTTTTGAACATTGGAATTTCAAACTACAGGAATGTGAATGGAGGAGCCCATTACCAAAATACTAAAACTATTTCATCAAGGCTATATCTTGTGGTATCAAACATTTTTAGACCCTTATGGTCATCATGTACCCTACAACTGGACAAATCTAAGGGCCACCATGTCATTCAAATACTTGATATTTCTTGTTTGATATCTGCCTGAGAAGACGGTATCAGTGAAGAGATGTCCAAGAAAGCTGAAAGAGATTATTTGGGACAGGAGAAACTTGGCAGTGTCCTGAGTCTCAAAACATTTAGAGCTTCTGAACATATATATATGATCAGTCCCAGAAGCCATATTGTGGAATCTCAAAAGATGCTGGTAGAAGAAAACTTAAAGGGCTTTATAGATCACAAATCTGTCCTCAAATCTCTGCGCATTTGTGGAGAAAGATGATGGGAAGTAGGAAAAGAGGAGGAATACATACAAAGGAAGGAGGAGTTTCAAATACCTTGTTATAAGAACTTAGTCCTCGAATGCAGAAGCTTACAAATGTGTGATTTGATGTCCTCTGTGGGCATGGAGGCATCTGAAAATTGTGTTCAGAAGGCTGATTCTCGAGTGTCATTTACAGACTCATTGATTTTGTGGCTTGGACAGTTCCTAAGTTCTTTCTTTTATCATTCTGAGTCGGTCTGATGGAGGGGTTCCAAAATAAGTCATAACTTGCTGTATCTAATCAAATCAGGGTTTGAAGAACTACCATTATATGGTTGTTTGAAAGAGAATGCCCACCATGGGTTCATATATTTGAATGCGTAGTCATTGGTTAATTGGGCTGTTTAGGAAGGATTGGGAAGTGTGACCTTGTTGGAGGAGGTGTCAATGGGAGTAATTTCAAAAGTCCATACCAGGCCCAATCTCTTTCCCTCTCTGCGTGCTGCCTGCTGACCAGGAAGTATCTCCCAGGCAGTTCTCCAGGACTGCACCTGCCTGTGTGTGTCCACTCTCCCTACCCTATAATATGATAATGCACTAACCCTCTGAAGCAAGGCCCCAGTATAATGCTTTCTCCTGTAAGTTGCCTTGGTCACTGTGTTTCTTCACAGCAACAGAGCAGTAACTAAGAAGCATGCACCCTAGGAGGAGTGAGAAATTCAGTCTCAATCTTCACTCATTCATGAGAGACGTTTACCAATTAGCTGAGCTTCGTAAATACTAGGCTCCATAAAACAAGCAACATGAATGAAGACTAGTTCTTAGACACAAAATGGAGTTTATGATGAGAATAAACACTTCAGAAGGGGTAGTGCAGTTTTAAGGCAAAGGCAGTGAGATGACCTGGGCATTATGAAAACCTCCTATTTAGAATGGTTACTTGGAGACCAGGAGGAGAAGCTTCTGGAACATTGGATGAAACCTCTGCTCTATGTGTAAGCACTTTAGTAAATGTCACTGAGAAATTTTGAGCTTTGGTTGTTCTCCAAAATGATTTCAGGGCCTTTGGAATGTCTGCAGAAGCAGCAACTGGCTGTGGTCATCCACATCTCCCCCAAGTAGCTCCAATATCTGACTCATCTAGTTACATCATGTAATGTGACCAGAGGAGGGAGAATGGCATAATAAGCAGTCCGACTTCACTTATGCAAGTACTGTTCATTTTATAACCCACTCATCATCCAGGGGTCTACAGTGGCTTTACACTGTCCATTAATTTTTCAACCAGGTCTGTTTCCATGAAACTTATTCTCCTGCAATTGCAGGATATTTTTCTGTACTGTGTCTTCACAGAGCCCAAAAATCCATGAATGATAACCTAAAATCTTTTATCATCTGACTTCATTGATCCATCCAAAAGATGGTTTAAAAAATAATTCATATGTACATATTTAATGAAGCTTCAAGGACACACAGTATATTGTACAGGCAGTAATGGAGTATTACAATTAAAAATATATATTTATCTCTGTTGTAAAACTCTAAATCTTTTTTAAAAATATAACATAATTAGATAAAAACAAAAAACATCACATCAAAGTTGTAGAAGACAAGCTAACAGAAAAATAAAAGAACCTCAAAGAAGGCACAAGAAACCCACTCGTTCATGAATTCAGGAGTTCCATAATAGTGCTGAATGAAAGCATATATACATTATATTACACACAGGGGACCTGGTACACACCTATGTAGGCCCTGCAATTCTGCTTCAGACTTGGGAGTTCATATGAGCTTTGCTCAGTTGTTTTAGAGGGCCTTGTTCTTATGGTGTCCTCCATCCTGTCTCTCCAACTCCTTTTGCCTCATAAAACTCCGAATCTTTTCTTTTTAATCAAAATTCATTTCAGAGGAAAGTATATAGGGTTGGCATCAATCAGACAGTGATTAAAACCATAAGTTCTGAATTAAATTTTCACCCCAACTCTGACAGTACTTTTGGGATTTTGGAGTAAGTTACTTAAATCCCCTAGTCTCACCGTGAACAACTTTAACATGGGCAGAACATGATGAACTCTTCAGACTATCAGGAGAATTAAAAAAACCAAGTTGGTACAAAACATTTAGTACCATGACTGTAATATAACAAGTAATTACAGTGATCTTAATCAGATAACTACTTAATGGCTTAATTGAGAAAGAATTTATTAGTTCCCAAGGACTCTTAGAAGAATGAACCAGACAGTTTAAAATCATATCTGAAAATCTACTCAGGGACTATACTTCCTTAATTTCACTCTCTTTCTCTGTCTCTGTCTCTGTCTGCCTCTCTCTCTCTCTCTCTCTCTCTCTCTCTCTCTCTCACACACACACACACTCTCACACTCACTCACTCTCCACTGCCAGGGGCCAGAAGAGGGCACAAGATCCCCTAGAGTTAGAATTACAGATGGTTGTGAGCACTGGGGGCACTGGGAACTGAACCTAGGTCTGCTGCATGAACAGCCAGTGCTCTTAACCACTGAGCCATCCCTCCAGCCCCAGACCACAGCTTTTTATCCTAATGTGGTGAAGATGGAGATTCTAAAACTATTAGCTGTCCCTGACAGTACTGAAAATTAAACCAGCCAACACTCCCATTCTTTCCAGCCCAGTGTCTATACTTCATGAGGAAGAAAAGACAAATGAAGACTAAAATTCATGTGAAATGTCAACCAGAAGACTTTGCCATCTAGAACCCCCCACAATACTTACCCTCCAAATGTGCTCTTCCCCCACGATGATGGAACACCAATTTTAGATGAACATTTACAGAACACTGGTTTACACCTGGCTTGGTTGAGCAGCCTGGTTCTGCACAAGATAGAATAGAATGTAAGCACAAGTTTCTTGAGGCAGAGTGAAAATTTTTCTTAAAATACAGCTGACACACAAACTTCTCCCTTTCTTCATCATCCTTTTCCACTTCCTCCTAACTGGATTATGAAAATAAATTGGTGAAGAAGAAACAAATACCCACTTAGGGACATGAGGTAATCTTGAAAGTAAGGAAAATCACAAAGACTCAAACAAGCAAATCTCTCTGGCTTTCTTTCTAGTTATTCTAACTTTGGCCATCATTGTTGAGCATCATGTGAGCATCACATTACTTTTGTTTTTTTCAGGCAGATTCTCATTATACATCACAGTCTGATTCAGACTTACTATCTAGCCATGGCTAGCCTTGAACTCATGATCCTCTTGCCTCAATTTTACATATGCTAGTATTAATAAACTTATACCACCAAACTGGGCAACAATAAAAATATTTTAAGACAATAGGATCAGCACAGTTAAAATTAATAAAGTTAAAATGTATTCTGATGAATGCCTTAGTAAAAGTTTTACGATTGATAACTATTGTAATTAGACAGACTTCACTTTAATACAAATTGCAAAGTTGTTGAGGCTAGAGTTATTTACCAGCAGAAGCAGGTGTAAGCAGCCCCATCTGGGTATCACAACAGCTGAGCAGCCCTTCCTCTTCTTCTTCCTCTCATAGTCTACTGCAGTCTTAGATGCTATCCAGCTTTACATATCTGTAGAAACAGAACTCTAGGTGTCTTCCATTTGGTCGACTGGCTCACCCCTTTCCAAAGAATAGCTTATGTGTCTTCCCTACAAACAGTTCAAGCATCACCCGTATCACTACATTGTAGTTATTTTCTATGAGCTGATCTTTGCTCATCCAAAAAGTGACTTTTGAGGTCTTCTAGTCTGAAATTGCCTGGACAGTATTTATTCTTCCCAACTACAAAAACTTCCATCTGGCCCTGAAGAAAAACTCTTACATCCCATTTTATATTTTGAGACTTGTTCTTCAATGCTTTGCAAGTTGTAGTTTGGTGGAACTTACCAGTGGAAAAATGAAGATGAAAAGAAACCACAATGTAAAGGGAGCAAATGGTTAAGTCATCTGATGCTTGCCAGAAAGACTTCTTGGAAGGACAGTTACAGATGCCTGGGATGAGAGAACGCTTTCAGATAAGCATCTCTCCTTTTTTGCTGTGCTGAGGTCAGCAAGATCAGAGGATCAGATAGCCCTATTCATCCCTCATTGCCAGGAGAATTTGAAATAAACAAAACAACTGCATAGTGGTGCTTTTATCAGTGCTACATCCCACACTTTATAAGGCTACAGCTTTGAGATGGTGGTGGCTTGACCTTCCCTCAGTTTCCTCATCTGAAAACTAGAATAACAGCACCTTGGTTGTTCAGTTTAAATTAAATAATCTGACAAGATAAATACCACTGTAGTTGCCACACACTCAGCATTCAACAGACAGCTTTTTGAACATTTCTTCCCTCTTCAGGCCATCGGGAATAGCTGTGAGTAACATAAACAAGACATTTGGATGGACTAACTTTCTGTGTACCACCAACCCATTCCCAGCCTTTCCAAATACAACAGATGTTTTAATTAAAATGTGAGTATTGTGGGCTGGAGAGATGGCTCAATGGTTAAGGCTCCATTCCCACCACCCATGTCAGGTTCAGACTACCTGATCTGATGCTTCTGGCTTCCAGAGTACCTACACACACACACACACACACACACACACACACACACACACACACACACACACATTTTTTAAATTTTTGCTCCAATACACATTTCTGAATCCTTCAAGTTAACGATAACAGAATTTCCACACTGAGTGCATCATGATTCAAGAGGGATTAGCACCTGGTGTGTTTAGCACAGCTTGTGATTCCTTGAAGGGTGTAGCAATTACATCAATGACAGGCCATGAGTGTTCACCTGCTATAAATATCTCAAATACACTTCCATCTCTTCTAACACCATATATGTTGTCAATGCAACTTAAGATTAAGGGGCAGATTCAGTAAAATGATCCAGATGTTCTTTAGGAGGTAAAGATAAAAGAGAATTGGAGAAAAACATTTTATGAAATATCTTAGAAGTAAACTAAGCATTAAGGAGTTTTTTACAAAGTCCTAGTTATTCATTTGATCAAAAACCAACTTGGTGGGCTTGAGACATGGCTCAGCAGTAGAGTGTTTACCAAGCATGCACAAGACCCTGGGTTTGGCCCTTAACACTTTGGAAAAGGGGTGATCTGAGGGGGAGAAGTATTCTGACTCTGATATAAGTGGTGTTTCTTGCTTACTTTGCATTTTTGTGTGTTAAAAATCTTGTCAAGAATTGTAGAAGGCACTAGGAATACAATGATAAGTCTAACACATTTTCCTGAAATTAAGGCTTCCTATTCCTGAATTGGTATAAACTTCAGACAACCCTCCCACCTGGTTAATCTGAAGCTATTAGAAAACCTGGAGAAAATGCAGCATGTAATCATCTGGAGAGTAACTGTAGTATTCAAGATACTGAAGGGAAGGGCTGTTCAATACAATTGAATGGGTAAGCCTCTCCCATCCACCCCGGTCAAAGTCAGGACAAACACAGAGTCAAAGATGCAAAGTACGAAACACTAATCAGAACCCTGGGAATCTGAGTTAAAATGTCAACAGCCTAAGAAACCTGAGTATACACAAACTGGAATTCAGAGACCCTCGAAGCAAACAGTTCCAGATAAATAAGCCAGACTTCAGAGACTTTGAAAGGACCAGGCCTTAGGATTAAAGAGAGAAATCCAGGACTGGGTGAGCTTGGTCCTGGACCAGTTGATGGAGAGTTCTCAGGCTGATTAACCCTAATCCTCTCCTGAAGAAGGCAGATTCAGGCAAAACAGCACAAATTAGTTTAATAATTCTTCAGATGTACCTGGTATTTAATAGTAAAACATATTTATCAGGCCAAGAGAGAAAATTAAATGTTTAGAGAGAGAGAGAGAGAGAGAGAGAGAGGAAAAAGTAAAAATATGGATATGATGGATGAACTTTGAGACACTCACACAAAGACATTTAAAAACTAACTTTTTAAAAATCAAATAGAAGAAAGTATAATTTATCAAACTGAAAAATGTAATTTCTAAAATTAAGATATATATCAAATAAATTAAATGACTCTTCAGATTAAACAGAGGAGGATATTAGAACTGAAAACCACATCAATTTAAAGCATCCAGATTAGAGAACAGAAAAAAATGTTTGAAAATAAAAAATGAACAATAAGTACATGAAATGTAGCATAAATATAACAAAAAAAAATCGTCAAGTTACTGAAGAGAAAGAAGAGGAATTGTTGGGAAAAACAGAGTGTTATGTGAAACTGCCCGAGAATATTCAGACTTTAGTCCACACATCTAAACAGATCACTTGCTAAACCCTAACACGCATGTAAAACATAAAAGTAACAACACATCCTGCTTTGCATAATAATAAAAATGAAAAAGAAATCAAAGGTGTTTTAGTCAGCTTCCTGTTACTATAATGAATATTGGGAAGAGAGAGGGTGTCTATAATCCTCTTTGAGGTCATGTCTCAATATTCTGAGACTTCCTACTAGGCAATCCCTCTTGAAGGTTCCAAATCTCCCAGTAGCACAAATCAGGGCCAAGCCTTCAGCATTTGGGGGAACTCTCCATATCCACACTATAGGAACACTCCATATCCACACTGTAGGAGCACTCACTCCATATCCACACTGTAGGAGCACTCACTCCATATCCATACTGTAGTCAAGTGAAGAAAACTTTCAGTAGCTTCAATGAATAGAGGCAACTAACTTCCAACAGAAATAGCCGCACCACAGAACAGTAGAGCACTGTACAGTGGGAGCCATGAAAAGTAGCTGTCATGATGGGGGAAATACTTCTGTGTATGTTTATAAATAAAGTACTTGCTTGGCCAATGAGACAGCAGGTTAGGCTGGACTAGGAGTCAAAGAGGATTCTGGGAAATGTAGTAGAGAAGTGGTGTTCCAGACAGGAAGTGACATAGCAAAGAGACTCATATTTAAGAAGAGGAAAAAGGAAGTGTCCCTCTTTTCCCCTCGGCTCCTGCTCCAGCAGCTCGATGTGATTCACCAGCAAGGAGGGACGCCAATAAGGTGTCCGATAAGATAAGTCCCATAAAATATATTGATGTATGGTAATTAAGACTGAGCTAACAAATGAGAATCCTATTCATTGGCCCAGCAGCTTTGTAACTAATACAAGTCTCTCTGTGTATTCATTTGAGCCTAACTCGGGCGGGCGGCTGGTGTAAAGCTCACACGTGGCTGTGGGGCTCAGGCGGCTTTTGGCAAAAAGATTTATCGTAACACTGTCATTCTTCAAAGCTACAGTGACAAAGTGTGTTTGGATGGCTTGGTGGTTAAGAACACTGACTGCTTTTCCCTTGGACTCTGGTTCAGTTCCCAGCACTCACATGACATCTAACAACTGTCTATAACCCCAAGATCTGACACCTTCACAGATACATGCATGAAGGCAAAACACCAATGTAAATAACATAAAAATACACTATTTTTAAAAAAAGAAAACAAGGTAAAAATGTCTTCTAACAGCCAAATTCTGAGGGAGGGGGACTGTTTTTTAAGTACTTTTCTAAAATAAATGCCAAAAGAGGTCTACAGGCCAAAGGAAAAATATCCCACATGAAAGTGTGGGAACTGAGGGAAAATGATCAATAATAAAAAGGATAAAACATGGACAAATTCAAGTTTTATTGAATAAAATAATACTGATTTATTGAAGCTTCACTATATATCATAGAAGGAGTTTAAATCTGTGGCTCTAAGAGGGTCTGGAAAACCACACTATCATTTTAGGATAGATCTAACATGACAAAGACACTACTTGGACAAGGACACAGTGGCGGCTGCACTTCTATTCTTTCACTTTAATTAGATGTATATTGACTGGAATTGATAGGGCAGGCTGTTGGTTTGAGCTTTTATCCTTCAGTGTATACAACTGAGACTATTAATTTTTCTCTTGGCTCTATCGTGAGTTTTAATACAGCCTACCTTTGTCATTATTCATTTCAAGACATTTTATAATTTTCTGATTTTTTTTTTTTTTTTGGTTTTTCAAGATAGGGTTTCTCTGTGTAGCTCTGGAGCCTATCCTAGCATTCGCTCTGGAGACCAGGCTGGCCTCAAACTCACAGAGATCTGCCTGCCTCTGCCTCCTGAGTGCTGGGATTAAAGGTGTGCGCAACCAACACACGGCAATTTTCAGATTTTTAAATATATTATATTTAGACTTTTTATTTGTTCTGCACAGGATTCTCACAACCTAAAACAGAGGGTGATTTCACTTCTGCTAAAGAGATGCATATTCAGGGTGTGAATTTGTTTTCCCTGCCCTTTGCTTCTGAGTTCTTACAAAATGTCTACTTCACCAGCACAGGACCTGCATATTATCATTTCAGAGAAGAATGGACTGTTTTGTGGATGGTCTAAGAGTAAACTCATGACAGCAACAGTTTCTCAAGCCTTGGTGCTTGAAGTCCCCAGTATTGCTAAATGTCACAGCTGAATCACCAGTTCAGTCTGTGAGGTTAGGATTTCACCCATAGTAAGGCAGTCTCCACAGGGAACCAAAAAAACTCAACTATTGTATTTTATCTGAAAAATCCAAGGGGATCATAACCAATACAGTAACAACACCCCCATTGCCATCACTCCTCATGACCTCCTCTGTGACTTTGTAATCCTTCCTCATCCCCACAGCACAAGAGATCTATATTCCTACTTGATCAGAGAATTGAAACACAGACCTTTTCAACTCCAAACTATACCCAGGGATGGGGCCAGCAGGCAAAAAGGAGGGCTGCCATCTTTGCAAGAATAGTTACCCCTGATCATTAGACAGAGGTGTAATTGTGTAGAAATAACATTGGGCATCTCCAGGTACCTCTTGGTTGTGAAAAGCAAAGCAAGCATGACTTGAATAGAGCAGGAAGACAAAGAAAAAAAGACTCCTGAGTAAATTTCAGTTGGGGTGTGCTGGGCTTTGGAGAGATCTGGAATTATGTGGTAGAGGAAGGCAGGACTATCTGGTTCATGCTGGCACTATCTGCATGGATAGGGTATTGGCTCTACTGAGTTCTGAGTTCCTCCAGGAAGACAGATCCATCACAGCTCCAGAGTAGCTGTTGCTTGAATGCATGAAGAAGAGGGTTTGAGCAGCATAAAAGGTCATCTGTGACAGCCACACTGCAACTGCTGGATGCTACACACCTAGACACCAGGTTCCAAAGAAAGTCCTATCACTCTAGCTTCCAAGGGTTCTGTGAGCAACATCTGCAAAGAGCCTCCTCCCAGAAGAATACACCTTTCTGGGGTGAGCCACATCCTACAGCTGCAAGCATTAAAAAGTTTCAACCAGTTCAACCCACCAAGGGACTCTCTGATAGACCATATTTGCTTAGACTACCTCAGTGGATTGCCCAAGGCATACTTGTTCTGCAATTATCTTTCTTCCTTTGCCTGACTCTGCTTCCATCCCTCCCTTCCATAGGCAGTGGTTCCTTGGGAGTCACCAAAGCTTGCCTGGTCACCAAAGTAACTCTCATCTGCTCCTGAGGGATTAGCCTGTGAAGATCATTAAAAACCACCAGAGGGGGGAAAAACAACAAACAAGCAAAAAACACCAAAGCCTCTGCAACAAATCTAACAATAGATATAGTGCTTCACAACAAATAAATGCAAAAGCTTAATGAAAGAAGCAGAAGAATAATTTCTGTTTCGTGGATTGAAAATACATTGTGTTTGTATGTCCACTTCCCTCCGAGTTAATCTCTAAATATATTGCAGTTATAAAGCTGATTGTGACATTTATGTAGAAAATCAAAAGTACAAAAGCATCCTGTACCTGGAGCATAAGTTATAGGAAAACATAAGCTATAAAGTCAAGAAACCAAGAGAATATAGTGGAAATGGAGACACACACTGAAGTCAAACAGCACAGAGCTCAGAACACATGCGTGGACAGCTGATGCATGACAAGGTGGTCATGAAGAGCAGGAGCAGAAGGAATGATCATCTGGACATGCTTGGAATCAGCTGTTTCCATACAGAAAAGGGGGGCAATTTAATAGTGATCTCATCACACACCCAAAATACTATTCTAGGTGGACTACAGAGTGAAGTGTACAGATTAGAGAGAAAATGTTCCAGTAGGTAATCTAGAATCTGTCCATAAATTTGGAACAGGCAGATGGGGCCTGGGTTGTGTAAGAAAGGGAGTGGAACTGAACCTGAGTCTGGGACCAAGCCAGCACTTAAGTATTCCTCTGTGGTCCCTGCTTCACTCTCCTGCTTTGAAGTCCCTCAGCGATGAATGACAACATACAAACTAAAATATCTCTTTCCTCCCCGAATTATTTTTGGTCATGGAGTTTATCATAGCAACATAAAGCAAACTAGTACAGGCAGTGACATATCACAGCTGCACACATACACATACACACCCCACTACCACCAGCAACAACAACAACAGACACATGGAGCCTAAGAATCATAAACCCATTTATAGCAGAACAGACCAAAGATGTTATTCATATGATTGAATACTCTCTATGATGGAGAATGGCAACTAATGGCACTTAGAATTAAATCATGTATCCTAGATACTTAACTTTAGATAAAATGACAGCTGAAGTGCCCACTGTATGGTTCCATTTATATGCATTTTGAAATTCTATGTAAAGAGAAGATAGGAGCAGAGAAACTGTGGCCCTGGGGAGTACAAGATGAGGCCTTGGGATACTGACAAATGCTTTACTTCTTGACACATGTAGAGGAGTATGAGGATGTTTGTTCCATGATCATCTATTGAACTGTGTGTCTATCATCTGTGTATTTACCTTAAAAGTAATCCTGGACCTATGGAGCTGAAGAGTTGGCTCAGCAGTTTAGAGCACTGGCTGCTGCAGAGAACCTGGATTCGGTTCCCAGTACCCACATGGCAGCTCACAGCCATCTGAGACTCCAGTTCAGTGCTTTGAATGCTCTCTCTGTTCTGCCCCCTGTGGGCACCTGCATGCACACAGTGCACATGCATACAGTCGGGCATGCAAGCAGTCTGTCATGCATACATATAAAAGTTTAATACAATTATAAAAATTAAACTAATCTATGGGCCCAGTATAAGGAAAATGTACTGTTTGCCTCCTGAATTAATGTGTGGACTTCGCTTGCTGTGCATCACAATGGGAGACTTGAGCCCAGGGATTCAATGTAGATCCCACACACCCTAAGACAAATAGTCCTTTGGCATTTCCACAGTTGCTCACATGCCTCTCTCACATCATGGAGATTTCCTGACTCTCGGAGGTGACAGACCCAAACACAAACTTTTATTTCTAAGATAGCATCCTGTACAGCACCTTGTTTTTACTTTGGCTACTAAACTAAAATAGTCACTGGCTTCCTCGGTTTTAAGCAAAGAGGTTTTCAGTTCTACGTTTATGAGTTTCTCATTTTTTAAGTGGAGCAGCTTGGCCAACACCACAAACCTAAATATTTTTGCTAGTACAAGTACCATCCGCTGCAGACGAGTTCTTTACAGGAGGAAACCTGGCTTCTCCCTGCTTGGGTCTGGCCAAATAGACATCCCGCCAGGCTTACCATGAAAGATCAGCTTTCCGACAACAGCATGAGGAATATTTCCCATCCAGGGCTGAATGACTCCTGACAGGAGGTTGCAGGTTTGGCAAGACACCACAAGGACCAGGCCAAGCCAAACATGGAGTGGAAAACTCTGTTCAGCACTGTACCATAGACGGTTCCTTCCCTGGGGCTGGCTCACATGTGTGACTGTCTCTGGTTAGTAACAAGACACCAGCACATGGTGTACAGAGGATGTACCTCAGCCAGGTGAGGCAGGCATAGTGGGAACTCTGGGTTCTTCCAAGATCACCTGATGCTAGAGATGCTTGCATGGCTCTGGGAAGACACCTGGAGCAGAAGTGGTGTTTGCAACCCATATATTTAAGGGCTTTTCCTCTTAAGCAAGGAAAGAAATGCTGTTTTCACATCTCAGAAAATGAAATAAAACTTAAAAAGAGAAAACTCCACTCAGTCTCCTACAAGACACCACCATCTGCCTTCAACCTTCTCGTTACTTGGTTGTAAGTTGGCAGGTAGAAATAGTGTTTCCATCCATCTCACATAGTGACAGGCACACTTTTCAACTGCAACCTTTGAGTGTGTATTTATACGATCTTTAAATCAAAATTCGTTCATTTGTTAAGCATTTAAAAGTTGCCATGAACGTATATCTGTAAGCTGCCTTCAAAGTGGTGAGCAGCTTTTCATGGAGAAAGAACTAACACATTCCACCTAAATCTGAACTTGCCATGACTTTGACACCGCTTCCCTTGACATGAGTAACTGGGGGTTCTGTGTTCACTGAATTTGAAGCAAGTATCACTTATCTATGATGTATGAAACTGGGAGTGGTGAGCATGCATGCACACAGCAAGTGCAGCTGGAGGTGGTGAGCATGCACACAGCCAGTGCAGCTGGTGGTGGTGAGCATGCACACACAGCCAGTGGCTGGAGGTGGTGAGCATGCATGCACACAGCAAGTGCAGCTGGAGGTGGTGAGCATGCATGCACACAGCAAGTGCAGCTGGAGGTGGTGAGCATGCATGCACACAGCAAGTGCAGCTGGAGGTGGTGAGCATGCACACACAGCCAGTGCAGCTGGTGGTGGTGAGCATGCACACAGCAAGTGCAGCTGGAGGTGGTGAGCATGCATGCACACAGCAAGTGCAGCTGTAGGTAGTGAGCATGCACACACAGCAATTGCAGCTGGAAGTGGTGAGAATGCACACAGCCAGTGCAGCTGGTGGTGGTGAGCATGCATGCACACAGCAAGTGCAGCTGGAGGTGGTGAGCATGCACACAGCAAGCATGGAACAAGATAGTCTCTAAAAAAATTGAAAATTACACATTATTATAGACCTTACCAACATAGTGAAGACACGAAAAGCCCATAACCTGCGAGAATATTAACTTTAAAAGTTATGTAAATTTCAAAGTAATATATAGCATATATTTATTGATTGTATCAATTGTGTTTCTACAAGTAATAACAGTTATTAATCCCTAGCATTCAAATATATCTATATATAAACTGACGAAAAATTTCTTATAGTGGGTCCAATATACTTTTTCCAACTAACCTGCTAATGTTCTCTTAACTAAAATTGTGTCTGATCTACACCTTATCATGAAAAAGCAAGAGAGGAACACACAACCCCGTCAAACTGGTAGCAGTAACAAAGATGCCTTTTTGCCTTTCATCTTTTTGTTTTATTGGGATTTCACATCACCCTACTTTGTGGTTCTGTAGTCTCATTGTCACCTCAGTAAAATTTCAAAAGCCTGGCCCTCCTCACGCCTGTCATCCCAGGCCAGTTCACTGGCCAGAGTGGAGCTAAGATTTCCTTGTTCCCATTAGCTCAATGGCAATGGTTTAAGAAGATCACATGGACTATGCTGCTCAGCCCAGAAAGCTCTGTGATGTAAATGCTCACATCCTTTTCTTTCTTAGCAATTCCTTAAAATGTGTGTATGCTTTTGTAGCCCATGTCATTCTAATTCTCATCAGGGTTCTAGGACACATGGGTTCTGCTCTGACCAGGTAAATGGCAGAACTGAAGCCAGAACCATAATCTACACCTCTGGTCCCCAGAACACAGATTTGTACCATTCCACCTGCTCTGAATTATGAAAGAAAATGAAAGAACAGAGGGAAGGAGGGAGGGGAGGAAGGGAGGGAAGGAGGGACGGAGGGAGGGAGGGAGGGAGGGACGGAGAGACGGAGGGAGGGAGGACAGAGGTACAAAACTGCTTAGAACTCACTCCTTCTATTGAATGAACTGAGGAAAGTGCCTGTCTAAAGAGGAAGAGAGTGGCTAAGTAGCCTGAAAGGATATTTAGCAATTCTAGCTAAGCCCCAGAGAGAATATATTCTGCAAAGATTTGTGTGTGTGTGTGTGTGTGTGTGTGTGTGTGTGTGTGTGAGAGAGAGACTGAGACAGAGACAGACCAGGAGGGAGAATACAAACGTTGAGGACACCCAATCTCCTACAGCTGCAGTTATAGATGCCTTGTGAGCCACCTGACAAGGGTGCTAGGAATCAAACTCAGGTCCTCTGTAAAAGGAACATACTCTCCTAGCCACTACTCCATGTGTCCAGTCTGAGAGAGAGAGAAAATACCTTTGATAGAAAGAAGAGAACAGAGGCTTAAATGAGATTGTTCTAACCTTGAAGGAAAGCACTATAAACTCAGGGCCACTTTTAACATTCAAATGACTAACACTAACATAGACATTCTGGGGGAGAAGTCTGAATAAACATTTTCAAGCATGGCACAGGCAGCTCTGCATTAAAGCTACTTGTAACTGGTCATTCACCTCTCTTCCATCGTCAAGCTACAAAAATAATAACAGAGTGTGAGTGCAAAGATTTCTGAAGGGCATGGCAATTTGAAAGACGTCTGTGATGGGGAAGAAAGACAGTTATTGACCTGTAAGGTGACTGTAACTGAAAGTCAAATCATTATCCACTTTAACTGACAGCCTCCTGTAACCACACAAGCTGTGCTGCTGAAGTTACCAGCAAGTGCCCTAAACTACTTGACACTGCATTCCAGAATCCCACAGTTCAGCCAAGGTCCTCCCATGACTCCCTCCCGGCTTCAATTTCTATTTGCCAGCCTACTGTTGCAGTGTTTCATGATGTCACCCAAACTGTGAGTTTAGGCCTGCCTACACTGTCTTCTAAACCTATTTTAAAGTACTAATACATGTTAAAAAATCCTACTCATGAGGTTTCAGAGACAGCTTAGGGGTTAAAAGCAGCTCTGACTGCTCTAGCAGGGGACCCTAGGGTCAGTTCTTAGCATCCACAAGCCAACTCAAAACCATCTGCAGCTCAAGTCCCAAGGGCTATGACACCCTCTTTTGGCCTCTGTGGGCACAACAATATGGTACATGTAAATACTCTCAGGTATGCATGCTCACACATACACATAAAATTAAATGAATATATTTTTAATTAATTTAGTGCACTCCCAAGAGTAGCTGACTAACACAAACTGGCATTTGTGGGAAGGGAGGGAGGGAAGGAGAAAAGGAAGAAAAAGAGAGCGAGGTAATGAACTTGTGTGGTAGGGGTGGGGGGATTTGGGAAGAGTTAAGGAAGATGAATGTAATGAAAAATATATTGTATAATAGTCTTAAAGAATTAATAAAAGAACAAAAAATATAATTCAGGTAACTTATCCATCCTGTGTGTTTTATATTCGTAGTTGATTCAGAAGTAATTGCTCACACGTAGATCATGCTAATTGGAAAGAACCACAACCTAAATTATTCATAAGTTCCTTTACAGCATAAAAGACATGACATTTGGAACCAGATAGCTATGCTTCAGAATGTCATTCTTCATTCCTTGAAGGAAGCTACTGATCTCAGTATCCTCTTGGAGATGTAACTCAGTTGGTAGAGTGCTTCCCTCATTTTTACAGAAAAATATATTGTATAATAGTCTTAAAGAATTAATAAAAGAATAAAAATATAATTCAGGTAACTTATCCATCCTGTGTGTTTTATATCCGTAGTTGATTCAGAAGTAATTGCTCACACGTAGATCATGCTAATTGGAAAGAACCACAACCTAAATTATTCATAAGTTCCTTTACAGCATAAAAGACATGACATTTGGAACCAGATAGCTATGCTTCAGAATGTCATTCTTCATTCCTTGAAGGAAGCTACTGATCTCAGTATCCTCTTGGAGATGTAACTCAGTTGGTAGAGTGCTTGCCTCATTTTTACAAAGTCCTAGGTTCAGTGCTCAGTACCACATTAAAAAATAGGTGTGGTGGCACATTGCTACATCTAGCAGACAGGGAGTGGACACGGATAATACGATGCTCAGGGTTATCTCAGTGACTTCACAGGTTCTAGGATAGCTCTGTTTAGGGATGCTCTCTCAGCTTGGACACATGGGGGAGGGACTAAGCCCTGCCCTGGATGGTAGAAAACAAAAAACAAAAACAATTTGAATGATCCAGGCATGGTGGCACACACCTTTAATCTCAGCACTCGGAAGATAGAGGTAGGCAGAACTCTGTGAGTTTGAGGCCAGTCTGGCCTATAGAGTAAATTCCAGGACAGCTATGGCTGTTATACAGAGAAACACTGTCTCAAAAACAAAACAAATAACAATACTTGAATGATAATATACATTTTCTACTTTATATTATCAATAATTTTATGATAATATAATAATATTAAACGAGTTAGCACATTTGATGGTTTTAAAACATTTTCTGACCCACATTTGCTGAATAATTGACTCTTACTAGCTTTATCTTAATTCATTCAAGAAGGCTAGCTTCCTTAGCATTAAGTAGTTTAACTTTGTTACTATGTTTTACCAATGACTAATATGTTATTTTAAAATAAATCTTATATAATTATGACAGATAGCTTATGTGCATATTATCTTACAATAATTTATGTATTGACACAATACCTTGCTCGTAACTGGATGTAGTAGTCTGGATGAGAAAGGTCCCCTATAGGTTCAGGTAGTTGACACTTGGTCTTCAGTAGATGGTGCTGTTTGAGTTATGGAACCTTTAGAAGGTTCAGGCTTGGTGGAGGAAACACTTCACTGGAGATGGGCTTTGAGGGTTTATAACCTCATACCACTTCCTATTCCTCTTTTCTGCATCCTGTGTACAGATGAAATGTGAACCCCCAGCTTCCTGCTCCTACTTGAATGCCTCCCTCATAATTATGGCCTCATAGCCCCCTGGAACTATAGCCAAAATAAACTCTTTTTCCATTAAATTGATTTTGGTCACGGTATATTAAGACACCAAAGAAAAGTAACTAGCACAGTGGCCTACTTAATCTTTACTACCTTGTAGATGTTATCTATCTATAACAAATCTCTGTATTATTATATTTCTATTGCAACTTGACTTACAGCTTTATCTGAGAATTACCTCAAACACTATTTATCAACTACTGCTTATCTATTGTCCTTTGACTTGAGAGTTCTCACCTCCACCAGTGCTCAGACCAAAGGGGTGATCTACCGAACCTCATATTGCATCTCCAGACTGCACTGTTCCTCACTGAATCTCAGACTGCTGCCTGAGACTGCACTGAGGTCCTTATATTCTCTCTAGAGCTGGGATTAAAGGCATGAGCTCTGTTTCTCTTTGAGACTAATTCATTCTCATGTAGCCAGGGTGACCTTGAACTCACAGAGATCCATCTTCCTCTGTCTCCTGAGACCTGGGATTAAAGGTGTGCCACCATTTCCCAGTTTCTATAGCTATGGCTAGCTTTGCATTCTGATCTCCAGGCTAGCTTTATTAGATCATAAACAATAAGGAAGCAGGCTCAGCAAGCCATGAGGAGCAAGCCAATAAGCAGCATTCCTTCATGGCTTCACTTTAGTTCTTTCTTCCAGGTTCCTGCCTTGGCTTCCCTCAATTGACCATGGTTCATGACATGCAAACCAAATCACCCCTGCCTCCCTGAGTTGCTTTTAGTCATGATATTTCATCACAGCAGTAGAAACCCAAGAAAGACACAAAGTGAAAAACATATTTCTACACTTCCAGAAATTTTAGTTGCCAACATATTTTCAATGTAAAAATGTGAAATCAATGAAAAAATAATTTTAGTCGACATTGTAAAGTCTTTTGGGAAATCCACATGCATTTTAGAAATAGACTTCTCTGTAGTGCTTTTCAGTTTATTAGAAAATTCCTTTGCATGTAGCCAAGGTAGACTAATTTATTATTTTCATTTATTTTTTTCATGGCTGAAAGAAACCCAAGGATCAGAAACTACTTTCTAGATATTTGGATCACACTATCTCCCCACTGCTGTTTTTTCCAGCTCTCATTCTTACCCCTATGGGTATATGCTCTCACCTGAAAACAAGTTCTCAGACTCACAGGGGCCCCCTTTCACAACTTAAAAGAAGTCAGCCAAAGGGGAAAAGAGGAGGCAATCTCAGACCTTTGGTCTCTCTTTGGTTCACAAACTCTGAGTGTTGGGTCACCTCCAAACACCTGCACCCAACTTGGAGAACTAGATTGTGTTTATGGCTCCTTAACCAGATGAGTTCCCATTAAATGAACATTATTTTTCCATAATACATTCTTCATTGAAATGCCGCGCTTCATGTTTAAACAAGGGTACATACGGAAGTATTTAGAACTCTAAGTATTGGTAGATCATGCTTCCTTGCAATCATGAAAGGTGTGCATGCATACACATGTTCTCTAGGATTAAATAGTAAACACATACAACTGTCTAATACAGAAATAAACAGAAAAGAATGTTTAGAAAAACACTGAAAAGAAATAATATCAAAAATATAGACAAGCAAGACCCAGAAAAGGTTGTTGGGTAATTAAGAGCACTTTCTGCTCCTACAGAAGATCCAGGTTCAATTCCCAGCATACACACGGTAGCTCACAACTGCCTGTAACTTTATTTCCAGTAGATCCAATGTTTCCTTCTCACGTCCAAGGCATTTGCACATGAACATACTCTACACACAGACACATAAATATATGCATAACTAAAATAATAAAGATTAATCTTTAAAAATTCTGGCAATATTATCTTGGGTAGACTAGCACTCCTATGGTGCCAGCAGCAATCCTTCATGGGTAGCAATTCTGTATACCTGAGATCTGTAAGTGGCAGCTAGATCTGGAGTCTGGATGTTTAAGGCACCACCTTAGAAATGTATGGAACTACCTGGGGGCCACTTGTGAATGATACATTAAGACAGTGCTGTTGTAGAAACAGAAGCTAACTACTCCGCATAAAGTTGAGGTAAATATATATATTGTGTTTTTGTAGCAAGCTTTCTTCTCAACCTATCTTTGTATTACCAGCCCCCAAATAACAACATGGAGAGTTCTTATTAAGTATGAAATCCTGGCCTTTAGTTTAGGCTTGTCCCCAGCTACCTCTTATACCTCAAATAAACCCATATTTTTTAATCTTCTGCCACGTGACTTGGTTACTTCTCCTAAGTATGGTACTTCCTATTTGTTCCAAGTCTAGCTGGCATCTCCCCGCCTTTCTCTTCCCATATTTTATCTTACTGGTCTTTTGCATTTTTTAGTTTTGGCTCTCTCTCTCTCTCTCTCTCTCTCTCTCTCTCTCTCTCT